TTATTAAAATATTTATTCTAATTAATTTCCTTTCAATGTGCATGAATTCGTGTACCAGGTCACTAGTTTCAAGTAAAATCTTATTTATCAAAATTATATAGTAATCACTTTTTAAAATGCGTGATATTAACATTAATAACTATAATAGAATTCTTTTTACACTCAGTACTTTTCTATTTGATTTGTTCAACAGGGCAAAGCACTTGGACAGATGGTACTGGACATCCAGATAAAAAATGTTCCTGATTTAAAGTCATTAGTAGGTGGCTGAAAGAGCTTCTGCTTTGGGAAACCTATTCTTAATACAAATGCAAAACTGAATAGGAGGTAAAAGAATATAGAAAATATGCATTAAAGCAAACACCAACTAGATAAATTGAATGCCAGTATTAAAAATGTGGTCACTATAAGGAAGAAGAGAATAGGTGATTTTTTAACCAATATAGAATTATAAACACCAAAGACATATGCAAGACAGAAATGAGAAGTGATAGATATATCATTTAGGCATTTGATGAATTTTTTTTCTATCAAGCATCTACTTTAAAAACTTGATAAATTGTGATTTGTTTAATGACATATTCACTTTTAGAATATCTCTGAACCCCCAATTCCAAGCTGAGATAATCTTGTTATGTGTTTGAAAAGCATATTACTCTCTTTTTTAAATGTTTTTAAAAATCCTATTGCCTATTCTAAATAATTTTTATACATAAGCATACAGATTAAGTTCAGGTTCAAAGAAGCACTCTATTAATTAGTTAGAAAATGTTAACACATGTGCAGTATTCTCACACTGAATTAGGAAAAATAGAAAATATCTGAATATTTTAGCTTCAATAGTAAAAAGTTTGAATAGTTAATGACACAATGTTCTAATACTTTGAACTCAAATTAAATTCAAAGTTTGCTATGCAACTAATTTTCAAATGTTAGTCCAGGTGACATTTAACCACTTTTAATTAACTATCTTTATTTTCTGTTCCATGGTAAATAATATGGTGATGATTTTGCAGTGAGTTGATATAATAAAAATATGATTACAGTTTTTAATGAATTATTCTGATGAGCCTAGATACCCTTATGAGCACCCCACCCCATCCCTAATGTAATACTAGAGACTGGCATCACTAAGTGAGAGCCTATTGTCACAGAACAAATGAAGAAGAAAAAGATCAAACTTCTAGGACTGTGCATGTAAAATTTAATGTAAATAAATGCTCTGAATAGGAATGGAATAAAGACTCATTTTTTTTTTTTTGTTTAGATTTTTACATAAGCAAATGACCAATATACTAGTACATGCATGAATTTCTATGCGAACTTTGCCAGCTGGCTGAGTTTGGGAGTTGTCTTCTTTAGAGTCTGCAGCACAAACTAAAGGCAGGACAATCTTTTTTACTACAACTTCCAAGTTTCTAGAGCTACACTTTGTATCTGCTTTCTCCTTTCCTGTCTTAGAGGAACAAAAGTCCTTACTCCTCTCTAGTTCTAACTCTCCACCCGTAGTTTTGATGACTTTGCTTTCCATCTCTTCTGAGACTAACTTCCATCAGCTATCCTATTTTTTTCTTTGCTGTATATTTTTCTTCTCCCCTCATTTCCCTCTATGTACATATATTCTCATGTGATCCCATTTAAATCTAACAAAAAGCAGATGAACGACAAGACATTTTTCATTTGATCCCCTCACCTTTCCTTTACTTCAAAACTTTTTCACTTGTTTCCACTTTGTCTAGACCTTCCCTTTGCCTGACTCTTACTCTGTCAACCTCAGCAAATTGGCTCTGGCACCTTTCCTATTGCCTAATCTATCTGTCCCTCGATCCTCTTGCTAGCTTGTCTGAATTTGACACTATTGAACATGCCCTCTTAGTACAACTGTCTTCCTCAAGCACTTCCTCTCATTCCTCCTCAAGCACTTTGGCAACTCTTCAGTGCAGCCTTTATGTGGAGCTTTGTTCTGGTTGCCTTCTCTTCCCATTCTCTGTGCTGTCCTTATGCAGTTTCATCTACTCCCAAGGTCTGAGCCAGCAACCCAGACATTTTTGACTCCCAAGTTTCTATCTCTTGGCCAGACTCCTCTCTAGAGATCTTACTTTATCTATTTGTGTACCTGTTACCATCCTTAGCTAGTTATTGGAAAGAAGAGAGCAAAAATAAGTCAGAAATTGTTGAGCACATTTAGCTGGGAAGCTGAGGAGGCCTCTTTGGTCACCAGGAAGCGACAGCTTCACACCCCAAGAAATCGCAGCATTGTCCCTCTAAGGGGATTAACACTCCTCCCTTCCCCCTCCAGTACTGGATATGCTGAGTGTGTGTGTGTGTGTGTGTGTGTGTGTGTGTGTGTGTATTGGGGGAGGAGGGGAGAGGACAGGCACAGTAGAAGTCAAAATGGCACAAGGAGAAGTGCTGGGCCATAGAGGCCTATCAGTATAACCTGGGAAAATGATCCTTGGCTAGGGGATGCAAGCCCAATGCAAGTTCTTGAAATCTTAGGAAGTTAATTGGTTATTTTGAAAAAGCTCCTTCTTAAAACCCCAGGAGAACAAAGCTCCCCTCTCACCACCTGTGTTAATGCCTTCTCTCACCACCTGCGTTAGTGCCTTCTCACCATACTAGTTATGTGGCCTTAGCAGCTGCAGTGGCCACTGGCTGGGCAGACTCCAGATTCAGGCTCCAGTGGGAACCTGGATACTGCAGCATAGCAACCTCTGGCAGGTGGGAGCACAGCTAAGCTAGCTGGATGCTGGATGGAACTAAGTTTTAACATGGCACAGGCTCTCTGGACATTGACTCTCTTTCTGGCCCTGATTTTCCATGGAGAGATGAGACATTGGGGAACTCCTTTAATTCTGCTTTCTGAATAAATATCCTCTCTTATGGGTCCCTGGAAGTGCTTTTCTTCATAACACTGCAAGAATCTTATTTCTGCCAGCAGCATCCCCACTTTGAAAAGCCATAGACTGCTGGTACTCAACATATCCAAAAATTGAATTCCTTGTCTTCCTCCCATAAACCTATTCCTACTCCTACCTTCCTTCTCTCAGTGAAGAGCTTTGCTGGTTGTGCAGCAGGGAACTTCAGAGTCATCCCTGGCCCCTCGTTACTCCTCTTACCACTCTTACCACCACCATACCTCCAGGCCACCACATCTTGCCAGTGTGTCTCCAGAAATATTTTTTAACTTCTTCCCATGCCCCTCCATCTCATTTCCCATTGGTTAGTCCAGCTCCTTTTCTTATCTCTTACCTGGACTGAGTGGCCTTTTAATTGGTCTCTGCTTCTGGTTTCTCTCCTTTCTCCCACCTATCCATTCTCTACCCTGCCTCCGAGCTACCTTGGATCATCTAATTTTCCTTTTCTGGAAAACCTCTAGTGGCTCTCTACTGCTTACAGAATCTCTGCCTCCTTTATATTACTGCTGCCTTAATTAACAAATAAGTTATAGTAAACTATATTCATTCTGGTCATTTTTCATATTATGAAAATATAATTTTTTGTTTTGCCCAGTGTTCTTATTTTACTGGGGTTTTTGTTTATTTGTTTTCTGTATTTTTTTTGGGGGGGGGGGGGGGTGGGGGGGAGATGCCCTAACTGATTCCTGTCCTGCTGGAATTGCAGCCTTTAATCTTTCCAAAGACAATGGGCAGGATTGAAGCTCTCAAAAAGAGGTGCCAGCCAACCAGGAAGCTGGGGAAATCTTCCTCCCAGGAGGTAATGGATTCCTGTTAGCCTAGCATTCCAGGCAGCACCAAGCTAGGAGGCTGCAGGAAAAGGAGTCTGCTCTTTTCCCTGTTTCCTGAGGGAAGTTCACAAAGTCTTTCCCTTACCTCCTTAGAGCTAGCTAGTTTGGGCCTCTGTTCCTGGGGCCAGACTCTAGTATACGTAAACAAAACAGAAGGGAAACTACTGTTAAAATTATCATTATTTATGTGCTCAATGATTTAATAATCTAAACATGAATTAAGAACAACAACAACAACAAAAGCATCTTAAGGGAGGACAGTGCTTTAAAAACATAAGTTTAGGAAATCAAATGTGCCAGGCTTAGGACTCAGGGGAAAGAAGGTCTAACAGGTAAGTAAGAAGTCTGGGACACAGCCCTGGTTTTGCTTCTGACTTTGTGCCCTTGGGCAGTACGTTGAAGTGTCCCAGATTCCTAAAGTCTAAGGACAAAGTAGGACTACTGGCTGATCAAATTCTGGGAACTTCCTGGTGAGGGCATACTATTGACCAAAAAAGATATTAACCAGACCTTTCTATCAGAGTAAAATAACTGATGTTAGAAGCTGGACCCAAGGGTATTTGAGAAGCAGGAAAATGAAGTATAAATTAAAAAGTGTGGGATGCAAGTTTGAACTTCCAGGGTTGGGCACAGCACCTGGCATGTAGCAGGTACTCAGTAAACGAACGGATGCCGTGTCTGAGCTGATGGAAGGTCAGGCGTCCCCCCATGATGATGGACCTCGGACCGGAAACCTGTGGCCATGTCCTGATCTACACTAACACGGGGGCAAAAACAAAGTTATAAGCCTCGTTTTCTTTCCATGTAGAATGGAGGAGATACTTTACAGAGTTATGAGGATCAAGTGAGAAAATAGTTGTTCAGTGCCTAGCAAACACACAGGAAGCACACAATATTGTGATCATATATCCTCCATTTCAAAGCCTTCTCCGAAGACGGGGAGGCAGGATGCAGAGGTAAAACGTCTGTTGGTGGGAAATCCATTAGCCTTCCAGCCTTCTGCTGGACTCTGCAGCGTGTCCCTGTGAGCAGAGACCTCTTTCTCCCGGAAACACTTTTACCACCCCCCTGCCTCAGCGATGGTGAAGCCTGGAAGTTAAGTGGGTTTTGTGAGCCCCAATTTCAACCTGCTTACCGCAGAGACCCAGCAGAGTCTTGGCCTGTGCAGTTCAAAATGGACCTGGGCCTGAGACCCGCAGCTGGGAGGGCCCAGGGCCAGGGCCTGAAGCTCAGGTTAGGAAGTTGCTGCTGCATCGCCTCTAGGCCTTTTGGCTAAGATCAAGTGTATATCTGTTCTTATCAGGATGTGGCTGCTGCCCCTGTTTTTCCACAGGGCTCCAGAGCAGCAGTAGTTCAGGTGAGAGTCTGCTTTTCAGAGCAGGGTATGTGTTGATCAGGAAAGCCTCTGGTCTTTTAGAATCACCAGACCTGGAGACCCATTCTTGTGCATTTAAGACGTTTGCACCTTGAAACTTGAACAAGGCCCTTCGTACAGTCTGGGAAATAAGAGGTCTTTTTTAGCAACCAGGAGGATTCTCCTTTTCCCAGTGGCCCAGCTCTGGTTTAGGAAGAAGAACTTCCTAAGGTTAGATTTCTCTTAGGCACTTCCTTCTAACAGCTGTTGTCTTCGCATAGACTTAAAGTCCATGCAAGCTGGAAGGTATTAATGCAAGTGGGAGCCTCTTAGCGTGTAAATGTATTTAGCCATCAAAACCTGACCCTCGGCCATAGAAATATCGGATTCTCAATAAAAGAGAAGCACCACATGACCTCACTCATTTATGGATAATAAAGAACATTATAAACTGATGAACCAAAAGATAGATATAGAGACAGTAAAGCAACAAGTAGACTGTCAAATTATAGCAGGTAAGGTAGGGAGATCTGGGGGAGATAATAGATCAACCTAAAGACTTGTATACATGCATATAAGTACAACCAATGGACACAAAACTCTGGGGAGGGAGGGTATGTATGGGGGGCAATGTTAAAATATGTACACAGATAATAATTTAATAAAAATTTAAAAAAAAGAAATATTGGACTCAGAACGTTGAGCATTTGCCTTTTGCAAGGTTACACTGATTGTTGAAGAACAGGGAAGGAGAGGACAATCAGTTGAGCCATAAGAGCTCCTTTGAGGCTGCATTTTCAATTGAAAGGTAGCCTAATCCTCACTAATTCCTCCCTGCTTAAGAAGACAATCCACGCCCTGCTACCTCCTTCCAGTTGCCCGAATTGAATTCTAGGCAGGCGGTGGGGGAAGTGGCTGCTTGCGGGCAACTTCATTGAAAAAAAAAATAAAAATTAATGGCATAACATTTTGACTTAAAAATAATTGGGAATCATCAAAGACAAAAATAACTTTCAAGAAACTATGAACACTCCCCATGCTGATTCATTTCCAAAGAAGCAGAACGCCTCTATCTTGAGCAACCTACACGGATTCATGCCTCATCTACTGACCTCATCTCCTTTTTTTCTTTAAGGGACTCCCTTAAGGCAGAGGCTCCAGCAACAACATGAACCCCACCGGGGAAAAAAGAAAAATGAAAGGCAAATCACCTTACCTCTCACCAAAGGGCCCTAGGGATGCGGCTATTGAGGGTCTTCCAGTGATCTGTCCTTAGAATACTTTTGTCCCCAAAGAGCCCTCTATGGAGCCATGAGGCATTAGTTCTCTATGCTTCAGTCTCCGCAAATTCCCGAGATAGTGTTACCAGTTAGTGACCCCCAGAGACGGAAATCGCTAATTACCAAGTCAGTTTTGTTTTATTTTTTAATCTCCCTGGCCCATTTGGCTCTTGACCTTAAAGGGCTCCAGATCTTGGTGCGTTCTCGGAGCTGGAGCCACTGTCCTGTCCAGAGTCCAAGAGCCCGACCTGGGGTCCGCAGCACCATGTCCGCGGGGTCTTGATCAGACCTGTAAAAATGCACTCAGATTTCAATCCTGCAGCGGAGCTGGTGTGCTGCTGCAAGCTGGCAAGCAACCCGGTGCAGAGGGGTTTGGTTTGTTTCAGCAACTCCACAGTTTATTTATTTTTTAAATGTAGGGGGAATACTGGGCCAAAAAAAAAAAAAAGAAAGAAAAAAGGTTGTTTTAAATGTACACGTCCACTGCCTCTCTCTCCTTCTTCCACCGTTTTCTTTCGATTCATTGTGGGAAATGGAATTTCTTCTCTTTGCTGGGATTATAAAGTGATTCAGGATCATTTTTGAAATGAACAAAAGTCACCGGCAAGCAGACGACTGGGACCCAGCGCTGATGGCAGAGCTGGGGTGGGAGCCAAGACCGGGCCTCCTCCCAGCAGTTCCAGGTAAGATGAGCGGCCCTCAGTCCATCCACCGCAGCGAGCCCCCTCCCCAGGAGAGAGGAGGATTTGCTGGCTGATGAATCAAATTAGCTCCATACTGAGAGGTTTAGTTGAGCCTAGCGGGGTTCTCCATTGTGGCCTCAGTCTGAATTTAGGTATTTGCAAAATGCAGAGATTTTCCACCTGTGCATCAAGGGGTATGTCGGTGTGAAGCAAGACTTTTTAAAACATGAAATATCACTTAATCAAACATACCTTTCAAGGAGAATACCCACACTCTTATTTCAATGAGTACTTAGTTGCAACATTAAAATAACACGTGGGAATCAGTATAAAATGTTTTCAAACCACAGAATTCACCCCAGAGCCACACTATAAATTTCCCAGAATTTTAAGGCATTAACATTTTTCTAAACAGCCCAGTTCAAACAGAAATGAAGATAACTTCCAACCAGCGGGGGTACAATATATTAGCATTTTCTTTGATTCTCCCACAGCCACTCCATCAGAAACAGTATGGACACTTGTGTCATTCTGTTGTGGAAAAAGGTTCAGGGGGAATTCTTCAAATCAAATGTGAAGTTGTGGGGACCCATGGCTGGAAATGGGGATACTTGTGAATGGAAGGTCAAAGCAGACAAGAGGCTTTGCTGCCCACCAGCGTAGCCGGAGCAAGGATGAACGAGATATAATTCCTGGTGCTGCTTATTTCTTGGAAAGCATGGTGGAGCTTAGAACAGGGTGTTGTGTACATCAGCTCTTTGCAGGAAAAACAAAATGGAGGGTGAAACTCGGGGACCTGAAATCCAAAGCCATTGTTTAGCTCTCAATGGGCTTGGAATAGGTCCTGCTGCATTAGTGTACAGACCGGTCACTCAAACACTGAGGTTAATGAAATCCTGTACAGATGTTCTTGGCCTTATGTTCATACTTGGTTCCCTGGACCTCGGTTATAATATAGAACATGATGATTTTGCTTACAGTACCTTCACAATGTCTCCTATATGATAACCACACTCAGCACATGTCTGTTCTGCCATGATTCATGAGCTGGCAGAGTGAGTGTCCATCTCTCTGTACCAGTGAAGAAAAACAATGTGTATACTTTACTATATAATATACACATTATATATACGTATGTACACATATATGTAATTTTTATTTTTTTAAACACTGGGTAAATTGTGAATTTTTATCAAAACTTCTGACATGGATGTTTTTGCATTGATTATTCCGTGCTTTAAAAATATGCAATACCTAACTATTTAGTCAAGGGCATTGACTTATTTTCTCTTAGGTTGTCAAATGAAAAAAAAATGAAACACAACAATAGCTGTCCAGTGTGAATGAATAAAAAGTATACCTTTTTTGTCAGATGGGCAAAAAAATTTTGTGGTATGTTGCAGAATTTTAGTAAATAGTTTATAGTTGCCATGAGATGAAGGTTGAAAGTCGCTGGCATGGAACTCTGCGCAGAGTGGGGACCCCTGCTCTGGCGTCCGGGGACCGCTGCTCCGGGTCCACTCGCCCCAAGCACCTGGGTCACCCGGCGGGCGCTCAGCAAGGAGCTCAGCGCCTCGTCCTCCCTGGGCCCCCTCTGGACGGCTGCGCTGGGAAAGAAAGCGGCAAAGTTGGAGCGTGTGAACCGAAGCTAGGTCTCTGCAACCTTGCAGCCGGAGGAATAAACTTGGCGTGACCCCTGCTCTCCAGGAAAACGTTAGGGGCTTCGCCGTTTTACACACGGACCGTTGGAGCCGCGCGCTCAACTGTCACGGGCGCCTCGGAGCGCGGAGGCGCCTGGCGTTCCGATCGGGGCGCGCGGTGCCTGGACGCGCTGGTCGCCACCCCGGCCGCCGGCATTTAAAGGTGAGGAGGCTCGTGGCGGGCGGGAGGGACTAGGGTTCTACGGAGTGTAGGAAGGAATGCGCAGGCTTTCGAGGCGCGCACATTTCGTGGAGTCCATGCAAACACTTCACCGAAGTTTCGGGGTACCCAACCCGTTGGGAAGATAAAAATATCGCCCGAAGGGACCCTCCACCGAAAACCTTTCCTAAGTACCCGGACGGGTGTAGACCTTGTCGCGTGGCCACGCCTGCGCCTTTACAGTCCAAAAACGCCCGCGTAAAAGCCGAAATACTCGGGTCGTGAGTGCGAGAGGGAGCCTAAGTGCAAAAGCCCGGAATCCCGAGGCGGCCTGCCCGCTTGGAAAGAATTAGGGTCCCACGCGCCCCACTCCCAGCGGCGCTGGCCACCGGCGCCCAATCAGCGCTCTCGCCGGGTCTGTGACGGCATTCGCCCCGCCCCCTGGTCGGCGATAAAAGGACTGCGGGCTGCGGTCGGTGCTGATTGGCGCGCCGCCCGCGCCCGGCACGCCCGCCGCGGAGTCCGGGTGCGCTCTGTGCTCGCTGCTCGCAGCGCTGGTCTCACTGTCCCCAAAGTTCCTCACCCGCCTGAGCCCCAGAGCAGTGCTCCCCCTGGGCGTCTCCCCCTTTCCTTTCGCCTCCCCCTGCCCCCTCGGCTGTCACTGTCGCCTTCCCCCGCGGCAGTGGTCCACCGGCCGCAGGTGAGTTTGCAGCGCGGCGCCCTGGTCTCGCCTGCTCACCTCGCCTGGGCGACGGCAGTCCCCTGCCCCAAGACTCTTCATCTCGCTGCAGGATGAAGAACCCAATGCTAGAGGCGGTGTCCCTCCTGTTGGAGAAATTGCTCCTCATCTCCAACTTCAAGCTCTTCAGTCCGGACGCCCCGGGGGAAGACAAGGCAAGGAGCAGTTCCCAGGAGCTCAGCTCCTTCCGCCGCGGCGACGTCCTGGAGGTGCCCCGGACCCACCTGACCCATTATGGCATCTACCTGGGCGACAACCGTGTCGCCCACATGATGCCCGACATCCTCCTGGCTCTGACCAAGGACAAGAGGCTCACGCAGAAGGTGGTCTCCAACAAGCGTCTCCTCCTGGGCGTCATCGGCAGGGTGGCGAGCATCCGCGTGGACACCGTGGACGACTTCGCCTACGGGGCGGAGATCCTGGTCAATCACCTGGATAAGTCCCTCCAGAGGAAGGCCTTGCCCAACGAAGAGGTGGCTCAGAGAGCAGAGAAGCTGCTGGGCATCACCCCCTACAGCCTGCTGTGGAACAACTGCGAGCACTTTGTGACTTACTGCAGATTCGGCGCCGGGGTCAGCCCCCAGGCAGACAAGGTACAGCTGGTGGTGACTCACCGGTGGGCTGGGCGGGGCCGCCCCCACTCCCATCCCTTCCTGACCATTTCTCTCCCGGGGACCAGGCATTGAGCTTAGAGGAACAAAGGCTCTGGTGTTTCCTAAGGGAGACAATGTAAGTGCATGGCGATGTGTCTTGCAGGACATCTCACAAGGCGCAGTGGAGTATGGCAGTGCAGCACCGCTGCCCGCTATGGGAGAGCCGCCCGGTTATTGCTACAGAAGCCATCAGGGTGTCCACCCAGCCTAGTTGAAATGACAAAGTCCGTCGAGCGCTCGCAACTTTTTCCAAGAATTTCAATTGGCAGGAAGGTGTCCAGAGTTTATATTTAATCCATAACACTGTGTACATGGTGCTGTGCATTTACACTAAGGAAGCTCGCAGCATTCTCCCTCTGTAAGTTACTGCAGAGTGAATTCCCCTTGCTTAATATAAACTAACAAACTACCCAGTTAAGAAGACCTCCCTGGTATATCTCTTACCCCTGTGTGGGCTTTAGACGTGTCTTTTTCAGGGTATTTTGAAGTTTTTATGTTGGCTTTAATCCCTATTTAGACTCCCTTATTGTTAACCATCTTTTACCCATTAGATCCAAAGGTGGGTTTTCAAGAAGCGCCATTGGCTGTTGGAAGGCAATTTTAATGTGTGAAGTAAAACGAACAAAAACAATATCAGAATTTAAGATGGTTAAATTAGCCACAAATCCAAAGGGGGGTATGCACATGAATTTGTAATTCCTTTCACCAAATCTCTTAAATTTTAAAAATTAAAAAAAAAAAATGCCTGCAATGTCATTTGCAATTAGCTTTCTCAGCCTGCCCCTAAGTTGTTAAATTAGTGTTAATGTTCAAGCTTAACAACAGAAGCCTATATAATCGCAAAATGACCTTCAGGGTTGACTCTTCACATTTATATATTTTTTGGACCAAAAGAATCTGAGTCTATATAACCAATATTTTTATTGCTCCATATTTTGATTATTTTTTTTTTAACCCATGTGGGAGAATCTTTCCTCTGTGGCAGAGCATGAAAGTATTATACTTTTATATATATGGATGCTTCAAACTCCTTGTGGTTATTTATGAAGGCACAAAGACTCAATCTAGGAATGCTTTTGTAGGAATGCTTTTTTTCAAGAATCACAGCTCTAGGCCTGTTTAGAAATGAACTTCACCACATTTACAAACAGGGGCTCCAAAGTACTCAAAAGAAAACACATCAGATTTACTTAGGATCCAAGCAAATTATTTCTCCAAGGAAAATAGTATTTCTATTGGGTATTAAGGAGTTACCCTTTGATGGCATACATATAGTTCTGTATTATATATTTCTACAAAAAAACAACACAGTAAGTACTTTTTTAAAGGAGTAAATATTTAATCTGCATACATAAGTAGTTGGAGTAGTTTTTCATCTTTGGAAACTTTGTAGGGTTTTACAGAAGTAGAGAAGGGTTTTAATTGCTGTTGCTGCATAGCACCTCTTGTGAAACTTGAGTTTTTGTCTTCAAGTTGAATGGTCTAATAATCTGGCCACAGAATAGACTTCCCAGGGGGAAGAAATCCCCATCCCAATTTTTCCAGTTCTCAGAACTGCTTGTTGGACGTGCTCTGTGAGAACTAGGTCATTAATGCTGAAGGAGGACCGATTTCTACTTTCCAGAAACAATAAAGAATTACATGGTTCTGAATCTCATTTTTTGAATTCTCCATATATAAAACTATTACCAGGTTAACATGAGAATTGCAAAGTTGTCTCTTAATTTCCAGTTAGAAACTTAAAAGTTATTATATCACCAAATTTTAGAATGGTTCATTGAATTCATCAATAATAATGGACAATTTATTATTTGAGATTAGAGATCTCTTTGCTCATCTACCGTGTTTCCCCGAAAATAAGACATCCTCCGAAAATAAGAACTAGCACATGGAAAGATAAGACATCCCCTGAAAATAAAACCTAGCACAACTTTGGGAGAAAAATTAATATAAGACACTGTCTTATTTTCGGGGAAACAGGGTAGTTTTAGAATATATTGTTATTGATAAACAGTTTAATGCTTTTAACATTTAATCGTGAACTTTTATGGGATTCCATTCTCTATAGTTTTCAATAAAAATTCTGTGTTTATATTGGTAACCTATTTGCCAGAGGTGTTATTTCAGCAGGCTGTTACAGTTCGTGGAATAAAAAACTGACCTCTCAACATCTAACTTCTTTCCTAAGTTGTAATAGAAATTCTAGTTTCTTTGGTAGACAGAAAATAGCCTAGGAAATTGTGCTTTATTATTTTGTATATATGATTCTTCTTAGGCTTAGCCACCTTTTCTGACGTTCTTAAATTTTATTTTCTAGTTTTGTGAGAATTTGAAGATAATTATTCGTGATCAGAGAAGTGTTCTTGCTTCGGCACTCTTGGGATTGGCGGCCATCACCTGCCTGGGCATGGCATCATATACTACTCTTCCAGCTATCCTTCTTCCATTCTGCTTATGGATGGCTGGCTAACGTCTCATCCTCATGTCAGTGTGTGTATTCTGTGTGTAAATATGTTTATATAGAGAGAGCACAAATCAGTGTAAGCATGGTCCAGAAAAATGTGACCTGAAACACTGTGTTCTGGATAAAATGTGATTAAGAATCACACCAAGTGCTTACTGTGTAAGCCCAAGAGCGAGGCTTTCTGAATCTTCCGCAGGCAGTTCCATTTCGAAGCTCTGTGCAAATCTTGGAAACCTGACAACTTTGATAGACTTCATCATTACAAGAAAACCAGCCTCTAAGATGATGGCTACAGGAGATAGTTTTTTTCTCTTTCTCCTGTAATCACTGTTCTTCTCCAATAGGCCAGAATCTGAAGATCAGAAGACTTATTGAATGAGGTCCTCAACTTTATTGTAAATTTATTCATTGAAAAACTTATATTAAACTGAAAGAATTTCCCTTGTTCAGATGAAAACATGCTTGATGATTGGCCTAAAAAGAAATTCTCAATCTTTTACATATTATAATTACCAATGAGTCAAGAATATTTCATTACCTGAAACCATATTAGCAAAATTAAGGTTTATTGATAAAATAACTGACTAGAACTATGGAAATCTGTGTTTTCCTGCAGAAATAGCTTCTGTAGCATCAGTTGAACAATTTGATATAGCTTTACTTAATAGGAAGCCTAGCATTCTTCCCCCTCCACCTTTGACGTGTCACTGTGATCACTTTAAAGGACTCTAAGAGGTAAATGGATATAGGACTGCAATAATTTGGATACTTGGAATGTATATGTACCAATTAAATATGCAGATATCCACGTACATGCAAACTGATGAAATTAAGTATGTTTTTGACTTATTTATTATCATACCATTGTGGTTACTATGGAGCATGTGTAGAGGTGAATATTACAACTAATTTAGTCCATTTTCTTATACCTTTGCCTGTGGTGTAACTTGCATATATTACTTTGGATGGTTTAGCTTTTAGAGTACTTACTAATGTACTTTATAATTTTTAAAAGCCCTCAGCTTGCTTTCTAGACCTTTTTTTTTTCTTCCCCCACCCCAATTTCATTGCCAAGCATAGCTTGCATCCTTAAAAGAAGAATGCCATAGCAGCATATAAGCCCCAAACAAGTAGGACCCAAGGGAATAACTGTTAGGGATAATTTGTGTCTTAGTACTGCCAAACATGTAAATTGATTATACCAAGGCTGTTTTAATATTTGAATTGAGATGTAGTGATGTTAAAGCAAGCATTCAAGTACTTTAACCAAAATTAACAAATTCTAAAATTAAGCCAAAAGCTATACTTGTATTTCAAGTATTAGTTACTTCATAAACTACCAAGAATCACAAAATAAGTCACATAATGAGTGGTATGAGGACATGGGCTAAGTCACTCAATAATCCAACCAGACCAAATTTAAGAGCAGATTTTAGTAACTGATATTTTATCACCACTAATTTACCCACAATAAATCCAGTTGGAGTTTAATTTTGTGTTTAATCATTTAAATATTTTAAATAATTAAAACATGAAATGGCAATACTACACAATAAAGTTGTTCCATGGGCATGTTCTGACCACTTAAGTTATTTCATGTATGCATAAAAGCAACCAAGTCACAAAAGCTACTGTCTGATGTTAAATCTGTGTTCAAAGATAATGATCCCTGATTAGATACCAAGGGAAGTACTTAAGGTTGGAATGAACATAATTAGTCTTGACTCACTTCATATCCTTAAAGCAAGAGTCAATTCATCTTTCACTTGAGTGCTCACTATACGCCAGGGACTGACCTGTTTCAATTTCATGGTCTAGATTGAATCATTCTAACCATATTAAAGTGTATACAGTGCTATGGGAACACGAGAAGAAGACATTAAATTGTCAAATAAATCTCTCTGAAGGAGGCAATGCTAGCATTAAGGTGAGAAATATAAGAGGTGATCTTATCACTGATGTGTTGTTTCACTACTTAGGAGAAGAGGGATCTGGAGGGAGGTTTTATTTACTAAATGTTCCGAAACACTAGACTTTGTTGAACTTCAGAGAAAAGGAGAGTTTTTGTTTTGTTGGCTCAGCTTGATTAGTTGCTTAACTAGGTAGAGAAAGATGCAAATCTCCCTGATTGTGGTTGTGGGGGAAGAAATACTGCACTATTAATGTGTCTTGTAATGAATTTCAAGACGGCATCACCAGTTAAGGTTGATCCTTGTGATCCTGCCATATATGAGCCTATGCATTTCTAAACTTTTCATTTATGAAATGGTAATCAAGTAGCTTCTTATTGCTTATTTTGTTCCTTGCCATATCCATATGAAGGACAAATAGGACTACTGGGACTAAGATGAAATAATGCTTGAGTCGGTATTGTGCAGGTGTTAGGGATGAAAAGGTCAGTGAGACATGTATCTTTTCTTTAAAGTTAATGGTCACATGGGTATAGATGACACAGTAGAGCTGACTGAAGGCACAGAAAAAGAAGTGTTTAGTTTTAACTATAAGGCCAAAATTATAGGGATTGTGTATTGAGATGAAAAACAGGTGTTTTTCAAGACATAGATTTGGCAGAACATTTTACATATGAGAAAATGCATGAAAACTGTCCACAGCATGCCTGGCACATAAGTGTGAGGTACTCTGCTATTGTTTTAAGGATGTATGCATAAAAGTTGACTGGACTGAAAGCATGAAACTGCAGGCACATTTGGGCAAACGCAAGTGGTTCAGAGGCTAGAGCAGAGCAAGGCTGATGAGAGATGTGGGAAAAGAAAAAAGTAACCAGGTGGTAGAAGTCTTGTGTGTAGACCAAAAAAATGTGGACTTTATGAAAGGCAATGGAGATCTGGGGTTCAGAAAAGTAACTCCCAAAAGTATGAAGGAAAGATGGGGGCATGAGGCAAGACAGGACAAAAGCACCTATTAGGATACTAGCTGTGGTCCTAAGTCTTTCAAATAAAGGCCTGTAATTGTGAGGGTGGAGAGCAAACATGTCGAGAAAGTGTCAAAAGACTTCAGCCAAATCCTTATGTTTGAATAACTCTTGGTGGGGTATCAGAGAAGAGTCATGTGTCATTTACATCGGAAAGTTGGTTCCTGAAAAATAAATATGGTGGCAGTGTGTATACTGGATATTCCAGATATATGTTCTGCCAGATATAGTTCTAAGGACAAGCAAATATATAAGAGTTTGTAATTTAAAAACTTAGCTTTTCAGAATATGGATATATTTCTTATTTTTCTATTTTCCATTTCATAAGACTACTGTCAAATAGAAAAAATGTTTTCCTGTAATATCACATACCAAGGACAAACTCTTATTATAGGTGAGAAGCATATAAGAAATGATAGTTGCCAATTTTCTGTTTTATAAGCTCTATTGAGAAGGTTTTATCCAACCTAAACCTATTAGTTCAACTGGTTTTATATTTGGTGTATATATACCTGAATGTTAAATAAAATCAATTTTACATGCTGTCCTCTATATTTGAAATTAAAACTTTATATGGATCTTTTTTCAGACTGATATGGCCTATGTTATCTACATCTTGAAGCTTACCTTGATTATGCAAAAAGTGTTCTGTGCAACATTAAACAAAAAACCTCTTCTCCATTCCACAAAATTAAGCAACAAGAAACAATTAGAGTCCTGGATACGGGTCTTCTAGCCAGATGTGTAATGCCTCCAAGGCAGCCTGTTGCTTTACCCCTTGGCCATGGGTGAGGTAGAGATGGAAGCAAGTCCCAGGGCCAGACTTGATGGACACTAACAGCACTGCAAAGGAACATAGAAGTTACTGGGCTGAACCCTTAAACATCTAACTACATTTCAGGTGTGAAAAATTAGGCACAGAGGTTGAGATGTTTTGTGACTATGCAAATTATCAGAGCCAGAACTTAACTCCAGTTTTCTTTCCATCACTCAACATTGCCCACTGAGGTCTCCCATGAATTGGACAAAGTTTCCTACAATTAATGTCTTAATTTCTTACAGACCTTCTGTGTACTTCAAGCAGGACCACACAAGAATGAACTACTTAGAATCTTAGTCCTGTGGTTGCTTAGTATAATGAGAAAAAAATGGCAAGTAAATAGATTTCAAAACAATGAAAGGTCACATATTAGGTCCATATACCTTCAGATTAGGTGGCATCCTTGGACCAATCAGTCATGACTAACACACACACAAGCACACACAAGGCATGGTGAACTACTCTAAAGGAGCTCCTTCGGCTGATTTTCTTTTGAAAATCGCTATCAATGTTAGCTTAAATGGGACATAAATATCTTATTATCACCTTAGCCTATTTTGCAATAATGTAGAGAATGTACTAGGTGAGGTATAAGCTTAAAATTCTATTACCAAAATGTAAGAGAAAAATGAGGACTCAATGTAAGTCAATGGCAGGGGGGATGGAGAGGAGAGGTGAGAAAGAGGGAGGCTGTTTCATAGAGTCTGGCAGGGTATATGTATGCTAATGCCTTAGTTTCTCCTTTCCTCTCACCCTCCAATATGTGAGGGCTTCACACAGGCCAATTGAGCCAGAAATCAGTTGACAGGAGAGCCTGGGAAATAGCCCTCTCAAAAGACAGAACTGTAGCTCAGGGAGAATAGGCCAAGACTTGGCACCAGGATAAGTGTGCTGATTGTATTGTGTAATACCATTACTGGTAAATTTAGAGGAATGGGCTCTGGGAGAAGTAGGATGAACCTGGTTTGGGATTTATAAAGTTTGAGTAGCTTAGGGTCCCGCAGGTAGAAATATAGAGTTGACACTTGGAGTCTCACTCCTAAGACAGAGCTCAGAGATGGGAATATATTTAGGAATTATAATGGTGGTTGAAGCCAAGGATATGAATTAGAGCATCTTTGAGGAGTCTCTGAAGATTATTTTTTTTAAATATAAAGATGGAAAACTAAGGTCACAAGAGGGAGAAAGAAAGTTTCAAAAAAAGAATGAAGAATAATAGTACAAAAGTTTAAAGCAGACACTGAGAAAGCCAAGGAGGAGTGAGTTTTGAAGATAAGAGTACAATATCAAGATATAGAATAGATAAGAACTGAATAAATATCCTATTGGATTTGACAAATAAGAAGACTGCCAGTGACCTTGATTAATAAGCATTCCACTATTACTAATAGGGGGTGTTAAAAAGGTTGAGAGAAGAAGGCAGATTGTGGGTTGAAATGTAAATGAGTGTGGCCTCTTTTTACAGAATTTGGTGGGGAAAACAAAAGACTCAGAAAACAGAGTATTTACCTAACATCTCTGTTTTCACTTCAGCACTCATTAGAATGGACCATACTGTCAACTTTTTTATGCCTCATGTTAAGAAGCATAAATCATAATTTAATTTTTAGAGTTCTTTTCTGAGGAACAAACATTGTGACATCAGAACTGCACTCTCAAAAAAGTGATTCTTTTCAGAGGGTCATCAAGTCAAATGATTGATTCAATTCCCATTTCTATTGGCTTCTTTAAAAAAAACATTTATTCAGATGGAAATTTGAATAGGTCCAAGGGAAGTGAGAAGGGGTAGAAATTAAGAAACAACCATACTGCATAGACTCTAGAATCTTGGGCTCTCAGTCAAACAACCTGTTGAGAAATGACATTTCTTCCCTTCATAGAATAATGGAACGAAGAGATCAAGACACAATGCAAGACTCAGATTCAAATGCTTTGGGACCCTTTTCAGTAGCAAAACCTCAGAAGTACTTCACATTCTCTATAATTAAAATATTCATAAAAATCATAATGAAAGATTAACAATCCAAGTAGCTAACATGTCCAAAGAAAATTGCACAAAATAATATCATATAATGAGTCCTTTGTCCTATATTGACCCCAATATATATAAAAGTTTGAAACCATTTTATTTGCTACTTGACATAATCACCACCTATCCTTTGAAGAAGAATATTTGTATTTCTGAGAAAAATCTCCTTATTTATATTGAGTCAAACAAAGAGCCGAAATTCCAAAATTTAACATATAAACAGTTCTTGACTGTTAAGCCTGGCTCTGCCCATAGTTGCCCCAAAGGATCTGCTCAGGCAGAAAAATCAGATCTTTAAGCTCCACATTGGTCCAGACACCTGATCTGACCAGGGGTCTTACTGCTGGTAGAAACCAAAAAGTTAGCAATTGCTAAATGCTTGAGCAACATGAACATTTACTTCGTCTCTAAGATTCCCCTAACTTTTCTCTCCATCCACCTCTCCACACACCTCTCTCTACACCTTACTTACAACAAGCCACAGACAAATGACTGCCAGGTAATTTAACATTAGTAAATACTTTCACTTCCTATCACAACTAATTTTTCCTGGATGAGGACTTAAAGGGACAATGCCATTGGAGATGATTATTTTTTAAAACTATAAAGGAATTTCAGACAAAGACAAGCTGGAAGAAAATCTGAAAATGAAGAGGATGAAGAAATGGATTTAGAGCACCACAGCAGTCTGAATGATGAGGTTTTTCCTTAGCTGCTGCAGTGGCTGCTATGCCTCCTTCTTAGCTCAGATGTCTCCTCTTTGTTAGTGCTCTTTCTCCTAACCTCTATGGAACCAAGTGAGATATTTTTTCAAAAGAGATTTAGAGAAAATGCACTTTTTGCATGTGTTCTCCACCTATAATTGAGTGATAGGTAGAGAAACAAACTCTCTTAGAGCAATGATTCTCTGAATATGGCCTTTACTTGGTTCCTGCTAGGCTTCATACCACCCCCTCGGCCCCCATGGAATTTATGTATGTGCAGTCAGTGATTATTCTAAATATTTGGAAATAATAATCCATATATAATGGTATGATAATATTAGCCAACTAATTTTTTTATTAACACCCTCTATTTTCTTGCATTCTTAATAAATGAGAGTATTCTTTTCACAGTATGTATTTCATTAGGTTTAATTGCCTTCATCAAATAAACTGCTTTTTTTAAACCTTAATATCAGGCAATTATAAGTTTCCCCTTATTCTGATATCCTATAGTACTGTTCCTTAATGCGCACTGTATTGGCCACCTGCATCAGAACCATTCAGGAAATCTGTGAAAACTGCAGGTTCCCGGGCCACATTCCACAGGCAATAGAGCAGTGATTACTTCATAGTTGAATATCAAAACATTATTGTTTCTTTCTTCTTTAGTAACATGATCTTTATTTAGTTGGGGTTAGCAATACACCCATTAGAATACTACATTTCCTGGCCTTCTTTTCCACGTGACAATGTTCTGAGCAAGCTAATGACAGCAGTATTGTTGTGGAGGAATTCTAGGAATGCCTCTTGAAAGGGAAGAAGTACACGTTTTCTTTTCCCCTTTCTCTTGCTGCCAGTCTGGAAACAGACACAATGGCTAGAGTGCCAGCAGCCATTCTGAATCATGAGGTGACCTTGTGGATGGAAGGCAGGCACCTAGGGAGGTGAAGCAGGAAGAAGGAACCTTGGGTCCCATGGTGATACCATATCAGATTTAGACTGTCTTCCTTCATAGGAAATAAGCTGCTAATTTTTTCAGGCAATTGGAGTTATTTAGAGTGTTCTTTTCCATGCAGTTCACCTAATCTCACTCTAAAAAAACATGCTGATTCAAAATTTCTTTGGAGGGTTTAAAAATTTGCATTTTTAAACACCTACAATAATAATCCTTGAACACAATCAATTTAGGAACCACTATTTTACAACTATTTCTTGGACCAATCAAAGATGTAGATTGTGTACTTTATACCTTTGCTTGTATTGCCCAGGGTTTATTACCATGGCCAACAATAGGAGATAGCCCATTAAAGTTTACAGAATAATATGTGGGTAAGGAAAGTCAACTGTGTTACTCCTAATTTTCTTCCTTTAGCTATCAGAGAAGATGTTTCTTGTGGAGAGGCTTAAGAAACAGTTGGAAGATAAATCTTTTTCAAATTCTGCTCTGGAAGTCCTAAATAAACCACACCACACCATGAGCTGTGACACCATAGCTTCTCAAATGTGGTGGTGGTTCTACCTCTAGAGTCCCTTCCAGACTTTGTTATCAGGGAAGTAAGAGTCCCATATACCTACTCAGTCCTTCGGTGCTGCTAGCCTCATGGGGAGTAAAATCAGTTCTAAACACAAAACAATTAAGTGTTTCTT